GGCCAAATCAACTGGGGCCAACCAGGAGGACAAACACCTATGTACAAATAGCCTCACACAGAATAACAAGAGACATGTACCATTGCATACAGTTTCCCTGTTTCATACTGTGTAGAAGGTCAACACAATGAAAATAAGGTCAATATCTAAGTTCGTTCCTGATTTCCTGGTTTAGAGTTTTAAAGAAAATGCACTTGTCAAGACAATAATGATGCCACTATCCACAGCCCTTCTGAAGCCATACGAAGGGCAATAAACATAGCCCAGCCAGGTAATGTATAACATTGTTACTCAAAGACTAGATAAGCACATCCATTGTTGTAGAAGACAAAACACTTACATCATACAATGATATCAAATAGCAATTTTGATTTCCATCAAAACGATTTCATAACAAGTTTGTTTAAAACGAGTGTTCTATCTTGCCTCCCTACACTCTAGTCTAGATTGACAAATGTCTAAGAAAGCCCATATTTCCTGTCATCCCTCCACAGGTCCCTTCAAGAATAATCTGGGAATCGAGAAATATTTGTTTCATCAAGTATCAACAATATATAAAAAAAAGAAAAAAAAAGTATCATCAATATTAGGAGGGTCTCTGCTAGCTGAGTCAATTCAATGCCACAAACAAAATACTGTTTAGAAAATATACCATTCCATACATATTTTCCTCGATACCAGTATGTCATGGATTCAGCTGAACAAATAGTACCGTAAATCCCAAACAAAGCCTCTGATTCATATCTGATAACACAAACCCCAAATAAATATATACCGTATTCGCCGTAATAAGCGCCCAGGGCCCTCTCAAAATTAGAAATAAGGGGCTCTTATTAGAATATAATTTTGGTGAGATAAAAAACAGAGTTGAAAGATTGTAAATTTTGTGGTTTATGCTGACAGCCTGAAATGATACAAAAGAAGAATCTGTGCGTATTATTCACGATAGACATATTTTCAAGAATTTAATGGCCCATAATTAAGGGTGCTTATCATACACAAATAAATAAGTCTTGTGTACATTGATCAATCGGAAGGGCTGCTAATTGGGATTGTTCACTAGCCAATATATTAGTAAATATCGCCGTGGGCGCTTGTTAGAGCGGGGCGCTTATTACGTCGAATACAGTAATTTGTATTTATAAAAGTAATTGATTTAGTACTTCGAAGTTATATCAGAAACGAAAACATGCAGTGTGTTCAATGCTACAACCCACAAGACAATGTACAAGATGACAAGATGTCAATCATTATTGACTGATTGTTTGGAATCATGGCTAGTCATAAAATAATCTTGGGCATTTGGTAGTCTTGTGGAAAAAAATAACATTATAGGAATGAAAAGAAAGAACTAACTCGTCATTTAAATTCAAAAGTAGCATGACATATACTTTTCAATGAGAACACACTAAAGCCGAGAAGCTGGGGTGTTATCTGTCATAGAATATTCATGTTGGAACTCTTAATACTTGATAAAACAAATATGACATGTTTGTATGTGGTAAGAAAGCCAGGAACAGCCAGTTCACATGCATAATAATATATTAGAAAATGAGGTAGAAGAACCATGGAGGTCATACGTCAGACATTTTGTTGCTACTCCATTTAATTTCCTATCATGATTTAAGGTGCAGAGCAACCATTATGACAGCGGCATACTCAATACAATATATCATTCTGATATATATGCACTTTTGTTCTGTTTTCACTTTACACCTGCGTTGATATATCTCAACCTTTTAAACAGCCATTTACAAAAGCTGCTTAATTGTGAAAAATGATATCTCAGAAAGGGTTAAATGTACTTCAGCGAGGGACCTTTTTATGTCATGTGACTTGGCATGGGACACGGTGAAACCGCTGGATCGGGAAGAGAACACAGTATTCACACTTTAAAGATCATAATTTAAATCTAAAATCTGAATAAACATGTTCCTGAGTTTAAATTGTACCTTGTGTTGAACCCGAGGAAACTGGCTTAAATAGCCTCAAACACAGCAAACATGAAGGCACCTTCGGAGGAAGTAGTTAGAGACGGAGCCCAGTCTGCCACCATCTTCTCTCTACCTTGATATGTCATCAAGCAGTTGTAAAGTGTTAAGTCATACAGAGACATCCGGACAGGGGGCACCGGAGCGTACACACACCTGGAGGAGGTTCTGCAGCCTAATCTTACTGAATTGTTTTTCAGAATATTAATTCAAATATTAAAGTTTTCTTTGTAAAAATCTCCCAAGCACGGTGCCATATCTCGGTGGCTCACTTGGACATACAGCCATGAAGACAAGATTGTGAGGAAGAGAATTTATGGATGTCAACTTTGGAGTATATGCTAACTCCTTCCTCAGGTCATCATTTCACCTGATGAAGGAGTAAATATTTACTCCGAAATGTTGTGTTCCTCATAATAGTGAGTGAGTGAGCTTGGTTTTACGCCGCTTTTGCCAATATTCCAGCAATATCACGGCAGGGGCCACCAGAAATGGGCTTCACACATAGTACCCATGTCGGGAATCGAACCCGGATCTTCGGCGTGACGAGCGAACACTTTAACCACTAGGCAGCCTGACCGCCCCGTTCCTCATAATAAAGAAGTTGACATCAATAAATTCTCTTCCTTATGTGTACCACTCCTAAATGCCCTTCAAAGACTTGAAGCTTGTAAGGTTACATCATGTATTCTTGGAAACACAAATACTGTAAAAACATTGTGCATTTAGATGCATAGGAGGTAGGGATGGGGTTAGGTCAAGGTTGCAAAGATAACTTCAAATGGAGACGTATCACTACATCGTTGATTGCGTTGGAATTTTGTCATAGATATATGACGTACTAGATGGGAGAAGGGTAAGAGCCATGGCTTTCACTCCTGTAGTTTCAATCGACAGAGAAGGGAGGAGTGAGGGAGTATGGTTTTATGCTGCTTTTAACAATATTCCAGCAATATCATGGCAGGGGACACCAGAAATGGGCTTCACACAAATTACCCATGTGGGGAATCCAACACAGTCCTCGGGGTGACTAGTGAACGCTTTAACCATTAGGGCAGATGTTAACAACTTAAGGAGCCAGAAATCAATTTTCAGGGACTTTAAGCGAGTTTACATGCATCATCAAATCAGCCAATATCAGAATGCGCAGCAAATTGCATTTCAAGGTAGCAGAGTAATGAATTAAAAGGAAGTTTTCACTATGGCTGCAATAACAGCCATATTGGAAATATAATTAGAACCTAGAACAAATTTAGGCTAGTTTCAGTTCATCGGGCCACTGCTTTCAGAGAAGATGTCTACAGACAGAAGACAAGCAGGCCAGCACAATTGTTCACTTGACCTTCTAAAATGAGAAGAAAAGTGTCACAACTGCACAATTGGAAGCATAAAAGTGCCTTCATGTTTGCAAGTTGAAGACTATCATGAACGACAAAGTGCGATACATTTGTCACAAATACAATGCCTGATATCCTATTTGTGCACTAGTTACATCAAACAAGGACGACATGCAGACCATCAGTAATCCTACCTGTATATACACTAACTCACACAAAGTAGACACACAAATACACACATCGCACCGTGTAATCCCTAGAAACAGGTTTCATGTACTTTAACAAGCCAACACAATACCAGATTGGCCTTAAAATGAGTACAAATAAATAGTTTCATTAAAACTGATTTTGATATGGCTTATAAAAGCAATGTATGCCATGAGTGCTTAAAATAAAATAATCATTTTAAAGTTTGTCAGGCACATATTACAGTTTTAGGAATTGACTAGTATTAGTCGAAAAAGAATGCATGTGCCAAGTTACCAGTATTTTCCTACAACAAATCTCTAAAATTTTAACAAAAAATATGTAAGGACCAAAACAGTAAACAAGGACTAAAACATTGAAAGTACTCCCAAATAGATGGATAAAAGATGTTATAAAAGAAAGAATGGAAACATATCGTGAAGGTGTCACTCGAACAGGTAATAATGTTGTGCAATGAGCACTGGACAATTAATGATCTGTAGAACCACATCAAGTGCCTGGGCAACAGTTACAGTTACACAGAGAAGTACATGTCCACATCTCTTGAAATCACTTGACAAGATAAATGAAAATCATCTGTTGAGGGACATGTATTTCGCATCTCAGATACTATACATTCTGTCAATCTCCTCTGACCTTGAAAAGAACAAAGCCAAAAAACTGTTCGTCATTCCCTCAAACAAGGGACTCCTACCAGCCTGTATATGATATGCACAAGATGCATAAATTTCCGTACTCAAAATTAATATCATTAAGCTTTTTGTAGTAACAATTTCGACAACAATCTTTAACTTAATTTTGAAACAGATATAAAAGTAAAGAATACCCAGTTAATTTGATGTGTCCCTTATACAAATAATGTACATGATCCGACTCTTGGCATATGTACAAAGTGATTAATTTCAAGAAAACTGGGTCTATTGAAACAAAACCGTATCTTAGTCAATCCTGTTCCATGGAGAGTAACATTTTCTTAGAGTGAGTGAGTTTGGTTTAACGCCGCTTTTAACAGTATTCCAGTTATATCACGGCGTGTCAGCTTAATGTGGGAGGAAAGCCCGAAGTGATGCAGGTCTCAGACGTTTACCACTTCGGTGAAACCCACGAGCACGGGTATGGTGCTGACAAACCTAGAAACATAATCATGGTGAACAGGGATTCGAACCCACAATCATAGGTTTCTGGCGTGCCCAAGGGATGCAACTCTGCACAGCGAATCGGGGTGCCTTAGACGACTGGGGCCACCCGTGCCCCCATATTTTCTTAGAACAGCCTTTGAAGAGACTCTGGACTTTACGGAATACGGTCATCAAAATAGTGATGTCTTTCCTGCTTCTTGAAAACTTGAATTACATGGTTTGTATGCAAAACAACACTGGAAAGAGGATACAAACAGCGACACAGGTTGAGAGATGACCTGAAGCATCTAGTCCCACTAACAATTAGTCATGAATGAAAATGCATATAATTCAATGTTTGTTTTAATCTTTGCTAAACCTGATTGGATGTTTTTCATCTTCAGAAAACACTGCTATAGAACAAGACAACAGTGTACAACATACCCAGATTGATAGACACCGACATATCCATACACAGAATCAAGAGGAATTCTAGCACTCAAAATGTAAATCCTAACTTTCACAATTCTTTTCAGGATCAGTTTAACTGAAAAGCATTCTCAAAACACATCATGATTTCATACTGTGATTTCGGGAAATGGAGTTATTACTATACAAGTGACCGTTTCAAAATATTCTCAAAATTGACCAAAAATGTTAAATTCTGAACAATTACTTTATACAACTATTTCACAAACACACAGTAACTTGAAAATCAAGATGTGCATTCTGCATGTGCTTTTCAGGCCCACAAAGAAATAGACAATTATTCCAATAATACAAACACACAAAATATGGAAACAAACTTTAAAATTTCATGTTTTTTCTTTGTCTCCCATTAAAAACATAACACTTTTGATAAAATTCAATTTCAATAACAGAATTCAGACATTAATAAAATGCAATATTAATATCTGCATAGCAGGGTTATATCTATAACCCTGCTAGCATCTGTAGGTTAATTACATCATTAAAAACAATATCTTATAAAAACAATAAAAATAGTTTATAATAAAAAAAGTATATTGAACTTGGGTGTTTCTTACATCCCCCCCAAAAAGCTGACAAACATTTTGTTTATTTGTACTACAACAATAATTACGGTATCAATAATTCCTCCATACAGAGTCTCCGTGTCTACACACATTTCATGAAGATATGTACAAGATTTACAAAAAGAATGTAAGAGGCCTTCTCAAAAGTCATATCGAATAACCAAAACAGGGCAAGAACTAGCAAGAACTTCACAAAAATCTTGTTCGAGTCACTTTATGAAATATCAACAATTGCTTCAAATTACATTTCTTTGACTAAATGTCAGAAACAACTTTTGAGATGGTCCCTCTTCAGTATGACAGTTCTTTCAAGTGTATCATCCAAGGTACTGCCATTTTATTTTGCACACTCAAAAGACTATAAAAGGACATAAAATGAATAAAACCAACAGATTAAAAAAATCCTAATGTGACAACCAATTCTACACAACCATTCAGGCATATAAAGGTAACCCTAAGAGCTGACGGAAGGAAGAGCTGAATTTATCTTGATTAATATTTCATTGTATAGATTTCATCATACATTTCTTAAAATGTACACATGTAAGGTTATGAGTGTATAGGAGAACTCAAGCTATAGACAGTTCATATTAAAATAATTACTCCTGAAACAAAGTGTAGACTCAGCATTCTGAAGGTTAAAGATGCACATAATTCTACATTGTACACACAATTACCACAGAATACAACAATCAAGGAAATTCCCTGATGGCATTAGGAGCACTTGACCTTACTCCATTAGAAACTGCAGATAATATCTCCACTGAGCCTTGATCATACTGCTAATGTCTTTGGTAAGAATATATACAACTCAAAAGAACTTAAAGAACACACAAATGTTTCATATGATCAGCTAATCATGATGCCATGACATGCTAGCAATAGTCACTTGACAGAATCGGGTGTTCTTTAACTTCTTTTGAGTAACATAAATGCCCAGACGGAATCAATTCGGAAATACCAGGTTAATGTCTGTAAAAAAAAGATTCCAAGTGTTCTAGAAACAGTTCATAATAGCAACCTTTTCTCTACTAACCCAAAACTTGTCATTTAGTGATTTTTCACTTAGATTAGACTATGATTTGCTTAGCTTACGAGACCAGAATATATTTATTGTTTCGGACTAGTGGCTTAAGGTGCCGATTCGTTCCTTGTATGTCATTCATCATGAGTACTGACTGCAGTTCCTTATGGATTAAGATCAGCGATTGCCTCAAAAAGGGCTCCCAAATAGCAGCACTATATATTTGTCCAGTCTGTCAACAGCAGTATCCAATGGTAACAGCACTCAACTACAGCATCACTGGAGTATGGCACTTGAACAATCAACCCAGTATTAACCCCTGCCCGGTTGATGTCTATCAAGGTACATTCTAGCTGGCCACAGCAGCAGCAGTCCCACATGGAAGGGGTTAACACTGTCCTCATGTCTCCTCGTTACAGCTGTAAGCACATCAATGTTGATCATATGTCCTCAAGTACATCATTAGTGATCAGCAAGGTAGGATCAAGTAGGAGTTTCAACAACACTTGTCATTAAGGTGATTTCCAAAGTGTTTCCAAAACGTCTGTAGGGAAATTGACTCACAATGACAAGGTTTTTATGTGTAAAGTACATCACAATTTGTATTTGAGACATTTTAATAGCAAGGAAATACTCGGATTAACTTGTGACATTAAAAAGTTTGCATCTTTCAGTGACGAGACTTTAGTTGGAAGATTTGCAGGAGGTTCACATCCCAACTTTGACACAGACAAAATTGATGAACTTGTAGCTTGCTGTCTCTCACTTGATTATGTCAAAGTATTGACATGATTCTTTTAATGTAAAGATTTCGTTACGTTTGGATTCACTACTTTTCAAAAATTGACCATCACTCTTGATGAAAAGGAAATCTTCACGTAGTCCTTCAACCTAATGAAGTCATGACAAGTCCTGGCCTCAGCTCTTCCCTGGAGACTGACTGCAGACAATGTCACAGTCAAAATCATGATCCAGTGATTAAATGGATCATTGCGCACCAGTCTCGGCCAACAACCCAAAGTGAAGATCACAGTCCGATTTAATCCACACACAGCACTAAACCTGCCAGCCGGAACTGCATCAAGTTGACCGAGCACTGTCGGGATTAAATTCTTTTACTGGATTACCCACAATCCAATGGACTTTCACCCAGTCACTTCCTGTCTGGTCTGTCACCAGTTCGCCTCCGTCCAAGGCGCATGTTTTGGCACACCCGTATCATCATAGATGCTCCCAATAGTTAGATGCTTGAGTCTTTGGCAGGCATGTCTTCCTCGGTGCCGATGATGGCCACAGAAGGAACGAGGTGATTTGTAGAGGTAGAAATGTTCACAGTACGCGCCAAGACGGCAATACGTTCCTCCACGCCTGCTGCCGATAACCGAGCCTCAGCATCGTGATCCCAGCACTCTTCTATTGTACAGATTAGCTGAGCAACGCCCTGCAGAGACAAATATGAACCATGTCTAACAGTCATACACAAACAGATATTGGCAACATAATATTTAAAGAGGGGATACATGGAAATGATTTAAAATGAGCTGCAGCTGTGAGTGAGTGAGTGAGTGAGTGAGTTTCGTTTTACGCCGCTTTTAGCAATTTTCCAGCAATATCACGGCGGGGGACACCAGAAATGGGCTTCACACATTGTACCCATGTCGGGATTCGAACCCGGGTCTTCGGCGTGACGAGCAAACGCTTTAACCACTGGGATACCCGACAGCCCCGCTGCAGCTGTGAAGCAGGAGGTGCAACATCATACAAATTATAGCCCAACTATCCTGAAACTAAATGTTAACATGCAGTTTTGTTAACTTGTTTGTTGGTTAACGCCACTCAGCAATATTCCAGCAACAAGATGGCGATCTGTAAATAATCAAGTCTGGACCAGACAATCCAGAAACTGACATCAGGAGCATTGATCCATGCAACTGGTATACAATGACATGAATCAACCAAGTCAGCGAGTCAGCCACCAGATCCCGTTAGTAGCCTCTTACGACAAGTATGGGCTGCTGAAGACCAATTCTAAACAGGAACTTGAGTGAGTGAGTGAGTGAGTGAGGTCACCAGAAATGGGCTTCACACATTGTGCCATGTAGGAAATCAAACTCTGGTCGTTGGTGTGATGAGCAAACACTGTAACCACTAGGCTATCTCACCACCCCTCCAGTCACACATGGAATTAAAGCTAGGTCCTTGGCGTGCCGAGCAGCACTTTACCCACTTGTCTAACATCTATCCCTTATAATGCCACTTACTGGATGTGTGTGCCAGATGTCCTTGATGATGGGTCGTACTTTTCTTAAGACGACAAGGTCCTGCATTTCCTCTAAGCTTGGATGAGGACCTATCTCCTCTTCATATGGCAGCTGGTACTCCTCAACATCTGCAAGCAAGTCAGTGAGTGAGTCATTTAGTCGGTGACAGTAATTTGTTTGTTTGTTGTTTAATGCCGCACTCAGCAATATTCCAATACTTAGCGTGTCTTAAAAATATAAAAAACCCAATTCATTTATATCATGACGTTCTAGCATATTGTGCAAGGAAAGCCTGAAGTGATGAAGATCTTGATTTTTTGGGATTTCAACCAATGACCATTGGATAATTACAGGGCTGAGGGACACAGTGAGATGTGGCGGTGTAGACCATCCGTGATCCCTACATGTATCGCAGGCCTGACATCAGCTGAGTCAGGGGGCTGAGGGACACAGTGAGATGTGGCGGTGTAGACCATCTGTGATCCCTACATGTGCTGCAGGCCTGACATCAGCTGTGTCAGGGGGCTGAGGGACACAGTGAGATGTGGTGGTGTAGACCATCCGTGATCCCTACATGTGTCGCAGGCCTGACATCAGCTGTGTCAGGGGGCTGAGGGACACAGTGAGATGTGGTGGTGTAGACCATCCGTGATCCCTACATGTGTCGCAGGCCTGACATCAGCTGTGTCAGGGGGCTGAGGGACACAGTGAGATGTGGTGGTGTAGACCATCCGTGATCCCTAAATGTGTCGCAGGCCTGACATCAGCTGTGTCAGGGGGCTGAGGGACACAGTGAGATGTGGCGGTGTAGACCATCCGTGATCCCTACATGTGTCGCAGGCCTGACATCAGCTGTGTCAGGGGGCTGAGGGACACAGTGAGATGTGGCGGTGTAGACCATCCGTGATCCCTACATGTATCGCAGGCCTGACATCAGCTGTGTCAGGGGGCTGAGGGACACAGTGAGATGTGGTGGTGTAGACCATCCGTGATCCCTACATGTGCTGCAGGCCTGACATCAGCTGTGTCAGGGGGCTGAGGGACACAGTGAGATGTGGCGGTGTAGACCATCCGTGATCCCTACATGTATCGCAGACCTGACATCAGCTGTGTCAGGGGGCTGAGGGACACAGTGAGATGTGGTGGTGAAGACCATCCGTGATCCCTACATGTGCTGCAGGCCTGACATCAGCTGTGTCAGGGGGCTGAGGGACACAGTGAGATGTGGTGGTGTAGACCATCCGTGATCCCTACATGTGTCGCAGGCCTGACATCAGCTGTGTCAGGGGGCTGAGGGACACAGTGAGATGTGGCGGTGTAGACCATCCGTGATCCCTACATGTGTCGCAGGCCTGACATCAGCTGTGTCAGGGGGCTGAGGGACACAGTGAGATGTGGCGGTGTAGACCATCCGTGATCCCTACATGTGTCGCAGGCCTGACATCAGCTGTGTCAGGGGGCTGAGGGACACAGTGAGATGTGGTGGTGTAGACCATCCGTGATCCCTAAATGTGTCGCAGGCCTGACATCAGCTGTGTCAGGGGGCTGAGGGACACAGTGAGATGTGGCGGTGTAGACCATCCGTGATCCCTACATGTGTCGCAGGCCTGACATCAGCTGTGTCAGGGGGCTGAGGGACACAGTGAGATGTGGCGGTGTAGACCATCCGTGATCCCTACATGTATCGCAGGCCTGACATCAGCTGTGTCAGGGGGCTGAGGGACACAGTGAGATGTGGTGGTGTAGACCATCCGTGATCCCTACATGTGCTGCAGGCCTGACATCAGCTGTGTCAGGGGGCTGAGGGACACAGTGAGATGTGGCGGTGTAGACCATCCGTGATCCCTACATGTATCGCAGACCTGACATCAGCTGTGTCAGGGGGCTGAGGGACACAGTGAGATGTGGTGGTGAAGACCATCCGTGATCCCTACATGTGCTGCAGGCCTGACATCAGCTGTGTCAGGGGGCTGAGGGACACAGTGAGATGTGGTGGTGTAGACCATCCGTGATCCCTACATGTGTCGCAGGCCTGACATCAGCTGTGTCAGGGGGCTGAGGGACACAGTGAGATGTGGCGGTGTAGACCATCCGTGATCCCTACATGTGTCGCAGGCCTGACATCAGCTGTGTCAGGGGGCTGAGGGACACAGTGAGATGTGGCGGTGTAGACCATCCGTGATCCCTACATGTGTCGCAGGCCTGACATCAGCTGTGTCAGGGGGCTGAGGGACACAGTGAGATGTGGCGGTGTAGACCATCCGTGATCCCTACATGTGTCGCAGGCCTGACATCAGCTGTGTCAGGGGGCTGAGGGACACAGTGAGATGTGGTGGTGTAGACCATCCGTGATCCCTACATGTGCTGCAGGCCTGACATCAGCTGTGTCAGGGGGCTGAGGGACACAGTGAGATGTGGCGGTGTAGACCATCCGTGATCCCTACATGTGTCGCAGGCCTGACATCAGCTGTGTCAGGGGGCTGAGGGACACAGTGAGATGTGGTGGTGTAGACCATCCGTGATCCCTACATGTGCTGCAGGCCTGACATCAGCTGTGTCAGGGGGCTGAGGGACACAGTGAGATGTGGCGGTGTAGACCATCCGTGATCCCTACATGTATCGCAGGCCTGACATCAGCTGTGTCAGGGGGCTGAGGGACACAGTGAGATGTGGCGGTGTAGACCATCCGTGATCCCTATATGTGTCGCAGGCCTGACATCAGCTGTGTCAGGGGGCTGAGGGACACAGTGAGATGTGGTGGTGTAGACCATCCGTGATCCCTACATGTGCTGCAGGCCTGACATCAGCTGTGTCAGGGGGCTGAGGGACACAGTGAGATGTGGCGGTGTAGACCATCCGTGATCCTTCCATGTATCGCAGGCCTGACATCAGCTGTGTCAGGGGGCTGAGGGACACAGTGAGATGTGGCTGTGTAGGCCATCCGTGATCCTTCCATGTATCGCAGGCCTGACATCAGCTGTGTCAGGGGGCTGAGGGACACAGTGAGATGTGGCTGTGTAGACCATCCGTGATCCCTCCATGTGTCGCAGGCCTGACATCAGCTGTGTCAGGGGGCTGAGTGCAGGTGTCCTGAAGCAGGCCAACTCAGCCTTTAGCTATGTCCCACATGTACAGGATCTGTCAATCACTGATTCCCACTACCGTTTTTATGCCACTCTTGGCAATATTCGGCATACCGACCTGTGCTATCCCCTCACCCTGGTCTCCTACAGGACTATCCTTGCAAAACAACCACGCGAAGCATGATCCCCCACAAACTCTGGATTTATTCCATCCCAGAACCTTGCCTTCCCACGAGGTCATAGGTCATGTCCGTGAGTCAGCAAACTGGCGATCCTCTGTCTCTCAGCACCCAAGCTCTGTAGTCCAAACTACATGACTTGTGTGTTGTTTAACACCAAACTCAGCAATATTCCAGCTGTATGGCAGACACCTGTAAGTAATTGAGACTACACCAGTGTCTGAAATAACTGCCTGCCAGACCAACTTTTCTGTCGGGCTGCATGATATTTTCCTCCACCTGCACGACTATTATGAATTCATTTTTATTATGACTCCTAGATTCTCAAGTAATTGTTTGCATAATTTCAACTGAATCAAGACATGATTAATCCCTCAGTTTTTGCAATTTTTCAATATTTATAATGTCTGGGCAGGTAACTTTGAAGATGGGCAGGCAGAGCTTATGGGTCACCTGCCCAACTGTCTTGTTGGGTTCAATATTTCGAACACTGGTCTACAACATTTAGCTGCCTCTTAAGGCAACGCTGTGAAACCATGGCAACTAAAACCCACCTTTATCGACAAGTTTTAACACTAATGATGAAAAGACCAGAATTCCAAACATGAAACATGGTGTCAAATTAGGGAGCTGGGTAATTGACAAAAACATCCACAAACTATCCACTTTCTCCCCACCCTTATATCTCAGATACCAGGTCCTTCATTTTCAGAGCCAACGGATTACTGCACTTACCCATCAATGAATCTGGAGCTCTGATCAAATCGCACTTTTTAATCCAAAATACTACCACTGTTATTACAATGACTCTAGAAGCCCTTTCAAGTTCTTCAACACAAAGTGAAAAGAGGCTACTAGTTCTAATCATGATAATTAGGACCATAGGGAGCAGAGCATGGCATTGATCTTCTTATTCTGTGGGGATAGAAATCTGCACTAGCTCCAGTCAGTTCAATTGCTTAATGCCTCACTCAGCATTGATATTATGAGTGAGTAGAGTTTAACATTGCTTTGAACACACAATATATATATATATATCACAATGTGACAGCTTTACGAGGGATTCAAAACCACAATCATAGGTTCCTAGCTTCCCCAAGGGACACAACTCTGCACAGTAAATAGCAGCACCTGCCCCCTTGATATTATGAACAATGCCCCAGGCCACCTGTGTTGATGACACATACAGTCAGCTAAGTCACACAGTTGGACCACTCAATCCATGTAACCCCAACATGCATAGATTACTGGGGATCTATCCTTACCCAACAATAACCATGGGGGTCGAAGTCAGGTTGTCAAATGTTATCCTGGGGACTACTTAGTGTTATAAACACAAAAGTAAATTGAAGTCAAGTCTTATAAATAAATAAGTTAACATTAATAACTTCCGTCACAGCTTATTGACTCACTAATACAAAAAACTGTAGACAACACCACAACATCAGCGACATCTTTCAGGACCATAATGCAACACTAGCCCCACCCTCTTTATTATCTGTCCCTCGGATAACTCTCATCTGCTAGTTGGCACAGCGCCATTAAAAAGTGCTGTGTTGCCAAATATCATGGAATACCAAATTATTTATTAGACCTTTTTGACTAATTTAGGGATATTAGATGATGTAAGAAAGTGTTTGAGACCCCTTAACTCCCTTAAACTTGATTGTTTGTTGTTTAATGCCGCACTCAGCAATATTCCAGCTATAGGACTGCGGGCTGTAAATAATTGAGTCTGCACCAGACAATCCAGGCGTTGACATCATGAGCATTGATCTACACAATTGGGATGCAATGACATGCATCAACCAAGTCAGCGAGCTGGTAATTCATGTAACTGCCAGCCCTGAGGACCGGCACACAAAGTATCTGAGAAATCTTTCTTGTTGAACAAATTATCGGCAATATTCATATAAGAATATTTTCTTAACGAAGTCTGCTTGTCTGTTACCATCAGGATTTATTTTTAGTGCAAGGTAATAACATTTCGCTTTGCACGAGCTTAAAAATATACATGTAGCAACTTTGTCTCAAAATATTAATAAAAAAGAGAAAAAAGTTACCACTGGTAACTTAACTTTGGGACAATGATGTGTAGATCTAACTTAGTTACTTCAGAGATGAATTGAACAGGATGTTGAAAGAATTAAAAGCAGGTAACTGTCATACGTTTTTTCCATTTGTTTACTGTTGGGACTGACAAAAATTAGAGGAGACTGGTAATTGTTAGAGTTGGCAGTCCTGCTGGACTGGCAGTTTCAAAAGCCAGCAGGAATGCTGTAGCAGAGACCTACCTCCTAGTACATTGCACCTTGCCATGAGTTCCCAGAGAACAAGGCCACATGCGTACATGTCAATCCTGAGAAATGCGTCCCTGTTAAAACAAATGGCTCCCTCGAGGATCTCAGGGGCCATGTAACGTCTGGTGCCCACCTGCAAACATAAAGGGCAACTTTTAACAAAAGCATCGAATTCAAAATATTATTTGTTGTTTAATGCTACACGCAGTCAGCAATATTCCAGCTATATGCCAACGGTCTGTAAATAAGAGTAAGGACCAAATGATCCATCATACATGTCATAAGCATCGTTCTACGGAAGTCAGCAAATCTGACCACCTGATCCTGTTAGTCGCCTCCAATGACAAGCATGTGTTAAAAACCAGTTCTAACCCAGATCTTCATGGGTCTTCAAAACAGGGCTTGCATCAGGTAGATGTTGACATGAAAAGCTAGTTGCACCAGACAAAAGCAGGATGCACTGAGGTCCCAAAAATTTATCAAGTAAGGATAGTCAGGCAAAACTTTGAATTTTGTCTACTTGCACTTGGTGCATGTACATAAATAAATATAAGGTCGCATTTTTCGAAAGTAGGATGCACTGGTGCATGTTTAATAGAGATGAATCCAGCCCTGTAAACTATTGTAAGAATAGGTGACATGCCTGGTGTGATACAACAAACACACATTGGTAACCATGGTAATATGATGTCAACCATAACATACATTTCTCCTGACCAGCAAGCACCTGCCAAAGACATAGTGGTTTAAGGAGTTGATATCATTATCAGTCCTCAATAAGAAGGAGAGGTTGATAAAGAAAACAACTGGCATTTATCTAGGATTATAAACTATGTGTCTATGAACATTATAAAAGACATACTAGGAAAAACAAAATTTGTGATCCAAAATTGGTTTGTATACCCTGACATACGGCATAACCATATATCATATATCGCCATATGTGCCAGTCAATACTAAACACTGATTGGCTTGGGAAGTATAACAAACAATAATAAGGAATAGTTTCACTTTTGTGGAGTAAATCTAAAATGCAAACACCGAGAAACCTTATAAAATTGACAATCCATAAAAAAAATTCAATTTGATTTGAACTTGTGCCATTGTAAAGAGTGAGTGAGTGAGTGAGTGAGTGAGTGAGTGAGTGAGTGAGTGAGTGAGTGAGTGAGTGAGTGAGTGAGTGAGTGAATGAGTGAGTGAGTGAGTGAGTGAGTGAGTGAGTGTATTTGGTTTTACATCTCTTTGTCATGGTGTGTCAGCTTAATGTGGGAGGAGAGTCCGAAGTGATGCAGGTCTCAGACGTTTACCATTTTGGCGAAACCCACGACATAATCTGAGTGAACTGGGATTCAAATCCACAATCACAGAATGCACAGCGAATTGCAGCGCTTGGTTTCTGGCATGCCCAAGGGATGCAACAGTACTCTGTGAATTGCAGCGCCTCAGAAAACTGGGCCACCTGTGCCCTCTGAGTTGGTTGGTTGGTTTGTTTAACGCCACATTCAGCAATATCCAGGTATATGACAGCAGTCTGTAAATAATCGAGTCTGGACCAGACAATCCAGTGATTGACAACATCATGAGCATTGATCCATGCAATTGGGATCGATGACATGCATCAACCAAGTCAGCGAGCCTGACCAACCGATCCAATTAGTCGCCTTAACAACAAGCATAGTCACCTTTTACGGCAAGCATGGGTTGCTGAAGACCTTTTCTACTCCGGATCTTCACGGGTCCCCCCTGAGTAATATGCCGAGCAGGCATATTGTGAAATATTGACCATAGGGCTACTATTGTTCTAAAAGAATTATGTAATAATATGGCTAAAAACAGAACTAAAACCCTACAGCAACATTCTCCCAAACCCTTCACACTCACCAGACCATGGGTTTCTCCGGGATTTTTGCCTGGCTCGAACTTAAGAGCAAGACCAAAGTCAGCAATACAAGCAGTCAAATCATTTTTCAACAAAACATTTTTGCTCTTGAAATCCCGATGAGCAATAGCTGGTTTGGCATCACTTCCCTTGCTGGCCGGGATTTCATCATGGAGGTAAGCCAGGCCCCTTGCCATTCCTTCAGCAATCTTGCACAAATCACTCCATGTTAAGATGCGGCCCTTCAGGCAATCACACAAGGAACCTTTTTCATGGAACTCGGTGATAAGCCATAGCTCAATGTTTAAATTATCTCCCCTTTTTTCGGCTGCCATGAAGTGCAGTACATTCTCATGGTTCATCTGCGGCAGGTTGTAGATCTCTTGTTCGGTCATCCACGAGTGCTTGTCTTGCAGCGGGAAGATTTTCACAGCTACGTTTTCGTTATGTAGCTGCGCCTTCCACACAGAGCCAAACCGTCCACGCGCCCTGAGCTCTATCAGCTGAAGGGGGCACAAGGCTATTTCTGATGGCGTTGCCGAAATTGGATCAACTGTTGGCAGTTGTTGATGGTACATGTAGATGTTGCGTTGATGTCGCCGCCACATCCAGAATACAACCACAACGATGAAGCAAACCCCAATGATTGGTACAATCGAATACATTATTGTTCGTAATAACTGCTCGTCTCCCGTTTTTCTAACAATGCCAGGCTCACTGGTAGTCGTGATGGGAAGTTGCTCGATTGGATTAGCCTCAATCTCACTGTTGCACATGTCCCCGTCACAACAACAAAAGTCTACATGCTTCACGGTGTGTGTTCGAACACATTTGGAAAGTCCTGTACAACTCTTGTCATTAAGCCAACAGCCCTTCATTACCAGCTGAATCTCACTGGACGTGTTTATCCATGAGGCGTAGCAGAAGGAGGCCTTGGTGACTCCTTTGGGATCTTGGCAGACCTCCTCAGTCGGGCAGTCATCACTTGTGCATTTATGGTTGTACTTGGCACACTTCCGACCCGTTGTCTCCGTCTCACTGTCCACTGCACCTGCAACATAACACCCAGAATTACAGGAGGATTACGTAACTCAACTTGAAATGGCCTCAAAATCTGTTTCCCTCTCACATGTAGATATATGGTATCTTCCTTTGTTTAAGGCCTTGTTATGGGGGGGGATGGTGGTGGAGGGGAGGAAGAGGTGGGTTGCTGAAAAGCACGGCTGTACTATATTTGCAAACTAATAATCATTTATCTGGATATCTTTAGACTATCCTTAATTCACTAAGCCCAAATACCCAGGTACATTTCTCCTCATCTCAGCTCAAATGAACCACTGCTATCATACTGCCAGGTATTAAATTAGATACCACATGCCCAACTTGATGTTCCTTTAACAAAAAATTAAAACTAATTAAAAAGGACAATTTGGAGAACTTTGGTGAATTTATTTCTGCTACACTTCTATGATGTTATTGCCTCCATATGTTCAAGCATTTGGAACATGACAGGCAGAGGTTGTCCCCTTATGTGCAGTTAGAAAATACAACACATTAAGACCCATTTTTTAATTCAAAGGTTCATTCTTATCTAAACCGTAAAGCTTTTTCAGCACCATCAATATACTCCCTTCATGTTTCCACTGAAAACATCACCCATTACCTTATAGTTAACATGATACAGCTTGTATACCACTGGGGAAGCATGCATCTTACCCATTACATCATACTTTATATGACACAGCTTATATACACTGGGGAAGCATGCATCTTACCCATTACATCATACTTTATATGACACAGCTTATATACACTGGGGAAACATGCATCTTACCCATTACATCATACTTTATATGACACAGCTTATATACACTGGGGAAACATGCATCCAATGAAGTGGTACTTTCATGTATGTTGGCAGTGGATAGTTATGGGTTTTCTTATTTCATGAATACGACACAGATATACACAAAAATATGCACCCTGTATATTTAGGTATTAATTGGGTAAGCATTTTCCCAAACTAATTGTATTACACTTCAATGTTGTGATTGAACATATGTTATATATTGGGTGATCTGAAAAGTAGTTGGTTGTATTGCACATTTTTGCAAGTAACTTGTTTAATAGCTAAGAAGTGTTCTTTCACAAAACTGGGACAAACTAGTGTTGAGGAAATATGTGAACAGGACAAGGGGGTCATTGTTTGACAACCATTGTTTATATTATTAGGCCACAGTGGGTGTTACAAAACAAATAATTTCAACTTGAAATACAGGTTAATGATCATAATAATTCCAGAATTTGGCAGAATTAACAAAGTTCCATAAGTTTTTCTTTAGCTTGTGTGTTAGGATTTCACTCTCTCATCAACCATGGTTTATTTTTATTTTATCTTTTTTTTCTTCAACTCTGTATGAATGTATGAAAACATACAAGATTTACACAAAATGCAGGAACATTTGGCCTTATTTCCAAAATTAAACAATGGAGCCATAAAGATGGTTTGATCAAATCATCCCATTTACACAGAACAGCTGCTGTTATTAAGTCTATATCAAACAAGGTATGTGCAAATAATTCTTAATTTATCATTGAGGCAGCCCCTAATGTATCAGTGTCCTTACATTACACAATGTTTTGATGGTCATTGCAAAGTTTGATCAACTTAACTACAAAAAAGGGGACAAACTATGAGGTTACTTTTGTTAAAATAAGCTGTGAACCTAGTAACCAATTGCAATTATATTCTTGAAATATCTTCTCTTAAATGACAAATATGCTGATTTTACTGGGTTTTTTTATGAGAATATTTCTTGAAGCAATGTTTTTTACACACACATTCTACCATGATCAAAACTTCAAAAACACAATTCAGTTATGTTTTATCATTCACTAATACACTACTTTTTTCTGAGGTCTACTGACATGTTCTTTCAAAAGAAAGGGAAAACAATAACATGCTTACAAATTTCAATTTTAGAAAATCCCTGGCGCTAAACAAATCAAATCAAACAAACAAACGGCTCATAAACATATCATTAAACAAATAAACGATGGTGACAAAGTTTCGCTATTAGTATTACATATTGTTGGTTAGGACTGTAGGACCTGCTTTGTCAACAAGAACAATGTGGCCATTCATCGGAAAATAAAACGATACATATTTCAGAGCTTTTATCTTTTGTAATAATTTGTGCAACAATGTTTCTATACACCTACAATACATTACGTTATACCACAGCTATTGGAATGACAATGACGTTAACCGATGCGATATGTACACATAGAGGCTATATCACATCGCAGCATGTTATTGACAAATGACAACAGAAAAAAGCGTCAGAAATGGATGGGCTGTGTGAAACAAGGCAAAGGCCATTAAATGGCGACAGCGCTCATGCTTAAGTGTTGATGAATCCAATGTCTTACGTACATACAGGCGATAACATTTTCGGAAATTAATACTAGTTAATTTCTTCACTAGGAGTACTTACAAATTTGTTGAGAAACTGCAAACGCGATTATCATGACCCCAAACTTCATTTTGACCTGTAGGAAGATAGCCCGTCAATTGACGAGCTCAACAATCGAATCTACACTTTGAGGCTAATGGCAGCTGCTTCTTTCGGGTTTAACAACGTCCAATACGTCATCGTCAACAATGCACGTTCACAAACACTTGCACGATAGTTGAATGACATAGAAACAGGGAGCTCAAAACACTATTGGTGATTCAACATGGCCGACTCCAATAATCACCTATACAGAAGCCCGGATGTAAAAACCAAGCCATGCATATTTTGTAAAGGACAATCTGATTGGCCTGAAACCCGTTCATATTGACTTTGTACAATCAGGCCATATTACAATTATGCATTTAATCACTGTTTTGTCCTCGTGGATCAAGTATATTGTGAAGGTGAATCTCTTCCTAGATATGTCATTGTAATGTAAGACACTGCTTTGCGGCGTTAAACAAGGATGGGAAATACGTGTCTATAATGACCAATGAAAGATGACCTTTGAGCGAGTTCAGAGGTCGGTGCCTATTGTCAAGTTATTCCTTCATGGTAAAACAGCTTGTTAGTAAAAAAAAAAATAATGAAAGAAAGAGACAAATTCTACTGTTCTGTTCAATTCTTCACTTCAAATGAAACAACATACTTCCAAATAAATTGGAAATTTGATTTCTACGATGTCAATCGTATTTGGCTCTGAAATGTAATAAAAGATATAATTTGACGTTTACTCCTTTTGGTATGAATTTAATCCATTACATGCTTGTTCTTTTTTTTAGTTTACTCGGTGAATTTTGGCGCTTCGTATTGACACGTTTTTAAGATATTTATAATGTGCTTATCAATATTTTATGTTAATATAAATCTGTGGTTTTATGGCACTATTTACGTTAAATATGTTGTTAACGACGCACCCGGTAATATTCCAGCTATATGACCACGGTCTGTCAATAATGGAACCTGGACCTAATAATCCAGTGATATCATGAACATCGATCTATGCATTTGAGACACGATGACATGCGTCAAAAACGTCAGCGAGCCTGATAACCCGATCCCGTTAGATACATCTTTATGACAAACATATGTTGCTAAAGACCAATTCTAACCCGGCTCTTCACGGGGTGTTCGTTACAGAGTTAGGATGCAAAGTTTATGTGACCTTATAGTGGCATAGCCAATATTGATATGCTTCAAGCCCGATTCATCTTTATGTATGAGATAAGACAGTATATATCAGTGGAGCAATGCGTAAGTAGATATTGATAACGAGCGTATTACGTATAGGTCGAGCTTAGGATTCCGTACCTTGTAATAAATATCACACTCGATCCTCACTCACAAGTATCCACGCACTTCAACACCTATTTAAAGAGTATGTATTAAGGTGCAGATGTACCGACTCTCTATTTATAACAGAGCCTGGAGGGTATTAAACAAGGAGCCAATCGGAGAAGAAGCGTGGTGTATACCCGACAGCTCACATTTGCAGACCTTTCTGCATGCATGCTAGACCCGAACTATAGTGACATATAGAACAATGAAACGAGGAACGGATAAGGGGCTACGGTAACACACCTAGCTCCAAGCATACAGGTGTGTATTTGTCCACAGTAATATCACAACAGAGTTAAATCATGGGCCTAAATAATTATTTGGGTCCGTGGTTAAATATGCTGATAGATTTTAATCAGATTATCCGTCTGAATATAAATTTGTCCAGCTATTACAGCCTAAATCAAAGATGGCTTTACTTCATATATCCAGACATATAAATGTTCAACATAATAAATCTCGAGTTACTTGTTCGTTCAAGTCCAGCCTCTATGCTTTGATATGAATATGTAAAATATTATACTGGAGACAAGGGGTTCAATGAGCGAGTCTATTCCTTGAATATATTCCGTGAAGATCCGGGGTAGAATAGGTCTTCAGTAAACCATGCCTGCCGTAAAAGGCGACTATGCCTGTCGTAAGAGGCGACTAACGGGATCGGGTGGTCAGGCTCGCTGACTTGGTTGATGCATGTCATCGATCCCAATTGGATCGATGCTCATGATGTAAATCGCTGGATTATCTGGTCCAGACTCGATTATGTACATACCGTCGTCATATAGCTGGAATATTGCTGAGTGCGGCGTTAAACAACAAACATTGAATATACTCATGTTTTGGGGAACAATGTGTGTGAATCACCATCGATATCGATTATCTATGCAAGAACAGTTTGATATGATGCAATAAATGTATTTGATTTTGATGTTTTAATTTGTTCGTCAATAAGTTATTATTAATGAAAAGACCTTCGTAGTCCGACAGCCGTGATCGTCGCTGATGCTATCAACTTTTGATTTTCTGTTCCAGATATGATTACATACCCACCGCCGTGCCGTAGCTGGAGAATTAATGCCCGTGGCGTCAAGTAAGATTCGATCCGTGAAGATTCGGGATAGAATAGGTCTTCAGCAACCATTGCTTGCCGTAAGAGGCGGCTCACGGGATCGGGTGGTCAGGCTCGCTGACTTGGTTGATGCATGTCATCAATCCCACAGATTTGGTTATTTACAGACCGCCGTCACATAGCTGGAATATTGCTGAGTGCAGCGTTAAACAATAAATAAATAAACAAACAAGCATCAAATAAGATTCATTTCATTCACTTGTAATGAGGAAGTGGGAGGTTATTAGTGGGGGGACCGCTCTACCTAATCCATGCGTTAACGGGATCTTGTTTTCCTATACTATAACAACGCGTAAGTACGTACCGTAAATCCTCATAAGCGCCCTCCCAAAATAACACCAGGACAACCAACTCACCGAAAGAAATAAACGCCAATCTGTATTAATTCCAAGACGCTGTTTATGTTGGCTTTCTTCACCGAGACCATATTTACCTTTGTTTTATAAAATAAATGAACTTTGGTCTCTTCCGTGCTTAAATCTTGTGAAACACCGACAGGAGACAGTTGAAACAAAAAGAACTCGATGTCGACGCCTCATTGGATAGAAATACATTATATAGTAAAACCAGAAGCTCGTATCTAAGGTATTTCAACCTATATTTATACCCCAACATTACTAAATAAGGTTATTTCACGGACATCATATATTTTTTTTCGGTGTATTTCTTGGTTTTTCGCTGACGATATCGCCTACGACCTTGCATCATTTGTGTACCGGTAACGAGCTGTGAGGTCACGTTCTTCAGCTAGCGGATACCGCTCCGATCTGGTTACAACGGCTGACAGTATTTGCTAGTTTTCACTTTTGTGTAGATATATCACATGATTAAGACAAAGATCTTCATTCAGCATTAAAGTAACCATGAAATGCCACATGTTACTACTGTTTGTGTCAAATATCAACTCTGCAGGCGGCTGATAATTGAGGGAAACCCTTTCTGACCTTCCAAAGCTATTTATAAATACTTCAGGAAATTCGTGACGAAATTATCCATCTGCGCATGCGCGGACTTAAGCCATACGAAATAAGTAACAAGAGGTTCCTCTCAGTGTAACCGTGATCGCACAAGCATCAGTGTTTGGTAAATATAGTGACAGAGAAGAAGCATATATAATTCGCGAACAAGACAGAACGAACAATGTCAGCCATTCGAGTTATTATGAAAGGACATGTCCAAGCAAGTCAATGTTTGAAAAGTCTTGGGACCCAAAGTCTTCTCGGTACCAATGGCACCGTTCCAAAACAACAACTTCTGGCAGGAACTTCGGTAAGTAAGAGAAATTCTTTTCTGGACATTTGGCCAGTCCAGTTAGAAAAGCGCCCTGCATCCTTCATAGAGTTCTGTGTTGACGTTAATTCTGTGTTAATTCTGCGGCGACCCGTTAATCCGAATTTTCCGTCCCCTCAGGATATGATTTCTTTTTATTTTATTACGTGGAATTATTATTATGTGTAATTATTATTGTTGTTATTATTATTATTATTATGTGTAATTATTATCCCCCGCCCCTACGAAGTTGGCGGGGGATATAGAAATGGGTTCCGTCCGTGTGTGTGTGCGTGCGTGTGTGTGCGTGTGTGCGTCCCGATATCGTTTCCGGAGCATAACTCAGAAACCGTTAAATATTTCTCTACAAAACTTTGCATGTCTATCAGACTCATGCTGAACTGGTGCCTTTTGCTATTTAGGAATTTTATAAATTTTTATTTTTTATGTTTCCATGGCAACAAGTTTGACTTAGGTTCTATAAAGGTGCTGTTCGTTTCTGGAGCGTAACTCAAAAACCCTTAAATAATTTCTTACAAATCTTTGCATGTTTACCAGACACATACTGAACTGGTGCCTTTTGCTATTTAGGAATTTTATAAATTTTTATTTTTTACGTTTCCATGGCAACAAGTTGGACTTAGGTTCTATCTATTATATGGTCTCTGTTTGCAGCTAGTAATTTCAGTTTTGTTACCGAGAAAATACACTAATTGAGCTTGCAGATGTTGGGGCTGATAATACACAGACCTTTTGTAAAGCCTCAGTGCATGATCGTGCTCATGAGTCCGACCAGAGCTCCTTGCGGCCAGCCGAGTACCTCTGTCACATCCTCACATCTTACACTGTCCATTCATGTGGTTTTCATCTGTTTGATTTCAGACAAGTATTCACATTCAGACAAACATACATCATGAAATTATCTTTCATTGAGAAAATGTCCTAAAACGTGAAAAACTATTTCCATTTGCATACCGAGAGCTAGCGATATACGGCCACTTTGATGTCTAAGGCTATATTGTCATGCACTTCACTGTCACACTTGTAGCAGTATATTTGTATAATTATGCAAAACAATATGCAATGCCTACCAAAAGGCTTGCATTAGGCCTATCTTATCTTATTTCAGAATAAGTGCATTTGTTTACAAACCAGAGGAAAGTCCGGTCAAATGATCGGCTATTTACAAACCGAACTTCAAAATGGTCAATGTCCTGGGCCTTTAAAGGGGGACAACTCCCCAAATTTAAAAGTATTCAAATATGGATGTCTCTTTCTTTGCTGATCCATTATTTACATACAATAATCTCGACTGGTTCGACTTGTGTTCAGCGTTAATTGGCATTTGGTGATTACACAGGTTAATTAAAATTGTGCCAGCAAGACAACAGAGAGCTGGAGTGTTGTTGCCCCTTAATTGGGATAAATTTTGTCCAATATGATAAGTATCAATACAATCAGGAGGACTGTTTCTAAAAAATATATCTTTAAAATGCATGTCTCATGTTTTGAAGGGGCGGTCGGGTAGCCCAGTGGTTAAAGCCTCGCTCGTCACGCCGAAGATCCGGGTTCGATTCCCGACATGGGTACAATGTGTGAAGCCCATTTCTGGTGTCCCCCGCCGTGATATTGCTGGAATATTGCTAAAAGCGGCGTAAAACCAAACTCACTCACTCACTCATGTTTTGAAAGATACTTCTTCAAATAGCAGCAAGGTGCCAAAATGGAATACAATCCCACCATAAACAAACCAAAACAGCAATACAAAGTATTTATCCGTCTTTATCTTTACATGTTTTGTGATGAAATATGTCACGTCCAATCTAGAATTCCTGGGTCAGCGAAATGTCATGATTCGCCACATCTGACACTGTCCATGCAACACGTTACATTTGTTTTTCATCTGTTTCTTTTTTAAAGTCTACTCATTGAGATAAATATATGTCATAAATTAAACTTTCATTGAGAAGATATTGTCAAAGTTTTCTCATTTGCAAATTTATTCTTTGTTTACAATGATTGTATGGCACCATGTACAGACACCCAAGCTCAATTGAAAACTAATGGTGCAGTCACTTTATTGTGTATATATATTGCCTTAACCCACATTGTCAATTTTGTGGTAGCATATTTTAATTATATTGCAAAACAATCTGCAGAACGCACTGAAAGGCTTCTATAGGCCCATCTGTTCTGTTTTCAGTGCTTTTGTTTACAAACAAGAGAAACATCTGATCATGTGATATACATATTAGCTTGTGGCAGTGATGTAATACTGCATAAGTCATCACTGCAACAGAGTGTGAAACTATATTTGTCTGAAATTATTTAATTGATGTTTTACTTACGGGAAATAACACTGTATACAGGAACTCCTTTCTGTACGCTTCTGGTTTTCAGAAAAAGATGAAAAAGATGAATAAGAAAATCCCTGTCTTTGCCACTCATGAAAATATCAAAATTGTCAGGTAGCTTTATTAGATAAAGGGCGGTGGGGTAGCCTGGTGGTTAAAGTGTTCGCTACGCATGCCGAAAACAGTGTTTGATTCCCAACATAGGTACATTTCTGGTGACCCCCACCATGATATTGCTGGTATATTGCCAAAAACCCATTCACTTGATTAGATTATGTTATTTAACAAGACATTTGTTTGGAATGGGAGTCGCCACTTTGAAACTAGTGCTGCAAAACTCAAGAAGGCTGCTTTCTGTGTGGCTAATGTCGACTTCCTGAACAAGGCTGGAGTTTCCAGGCTCCATTGTAGCGCCACCAATCAGATTCTACCTCTCATATCACATGTATTTGCTTCAAACAAAATGGCGTCGCCCAGTGAAGACAATCTGATCGATAATCAGTGTCCGTATTGTAATAAAGGGGGTCTAACCTCGCAAAGTGCATCATATTACATGAACACCTTCATTAAAAACATGAAAAAGAGATTTTGAAAACATCTTTTGAGTCTAAGTTAATGGTACACATGCTTTGCAAATCTTGCAATCTGCACAGCAGTTTATGATCCGGATGTTGATTTCGTTACATGATTTTGATTGGACTATGCATGGACTTGATAGTCCCGCCAAAATATAACTCTATAATTCCAGCCTAGTTCTGCAAGAGTGGAAACTGGACTTTTATGATCAGTTAACTCCCTTGCCTCGTGATGATGTACTGTTGTTACAGAGACGTTAAAAGTTGTAATATTTTGATACTGTACATGTTGCTTTGGAAAGTTCAGTTACCAGTGTTTGTCTGTCTCTGATTGTGTCACACCAATTCAATTTTACTCCAGAAAAGGAAACTGGGATATATTTGTGTTACATTTGTGACAATCAATTGTTTTCTTTTGAAAGATAACACTGTTTACCTGAATTGACACCAACTGAATCCTAAAGGTTAAAAAAACATCAAACAGAATAAGATTCCACCAAATATTTATGATTCATGACTCTCAAGTTGAATTAATGGACTTAGGACTACTCTATCAGGTTTGTAGTGTTAAACATGTATCTTTAGACACTGCTTTATCTTTGTACATAACAAAGTGCATCCTTTGTCTGAGATTTTTTTTAACTATCACACCTTAAATAGTACTGCCGACAGGTGTATGATCAGACAGCTAACAGTTTTTATGATGGAGAAAATAACTTCTCATGAAAAAAATTAAGTTGACTTGTTTAGGAGAAATGTAGAGTATGTTACACTAAACTAGCAGTGTTCTGTTCAGTATTATTGAAATTGATATAGACTATTTGGCTAATTTTGTCAAATAATAGGGTTTGAAATTCCTTGAATTGGAGTGTCAATGACATAGTAAACGAAGTAATGGTGCAGTTTAAGTTCCTGTGCCTGAAAAGGCACACCCAGAAATATATATTTTTAACAAAAATACATTTTTTATTATGTTGCCAGTGATGGATGTAATTCCTTACAAGTATTTTAAAGCTGGACAAATGATTCATGACAGGCGCACCTAAACATCTTTGTGATTGACACACTTCAATTTCAAAAGGCGCACCTAAACATCTTTGTGATTGACACACATAAATTCCTAAAGGCACACCTATACATCTTTGTGATTGACACACTTCAATTTCAAAAGGCGCACCTAAACATCTTTGTGATTGACACACTTCAATTTCAAAAGGCGCACCTAAACATCTTTGTAATTGACACACATCAATTCCTAAAGGCGCACCTAAACATCTTTGTGATTGACACACTTCAATTCCTAAAGGTGCACCTAAACATCTTTGTGATTGACACACTTCAATTCCTAAAGGCGCACCTATACACCTTTGTATTTGACACAATTCAATTCCTAAAGGCGCACCTATACACCTCTGTGATTGACACACTTCAATTCCTAAAGGCGCACCTTTCCACCTTTGTGATTGACACACTTCAATTCCTAAAGGCGCACCTATACACCTTTGTGATTGACACACATCAATTCCTAAAGACGCACCTATACACCTCTGTGATTGACACACTTCAATTCCTAAAGGTGCACCTAAACATCTTTGTGATTGACACACTTCAATTCCTAAAGGCGCACCTATACACCTTTGTGATTGACACACTTCAATTCCTAAAGGTGCACCTAAACATCTTTGTGATTGACACACTTCAATTCCTAAAGGCGCACCTATACGCCTTTGTGATTGACACACTTCAATTCCTAAAGGCGCACCTATACACCTCTGTGATTGACACACTTCAATTCCTAAAGGCGCACCTTTCCACCTTTGTGATTGACACACTTCAATTCCTAAAGGCGCACCTATACACCTTTGTGATTGACACACATCAATTCCTAAAGACGCACCTATACACCTCTGTGATTGACACACTTCAATTCCTAAAGGTGCACCTAAACATCTTTGTGATTGACACACTTCAATTCCTAAAGGCGCACCTATACACCTTTGTGATTGACACACTTCAATTCCTAAAGGTGCACCTAAACATCTTTGTGATTGACACACTTCAATTCCTAAAG